TCCTCCCCTCCAGAGACGGAGTCCAACCTGGTGGCCATCGTGGTGGGGGTGGCTGTTGTTGCCCTCTTGGCTGTCGTTGCCATCTGTGGATTCATCATGTGGAAGCAGAAGTCAGGTAAAGCATCGGGGCCGGTGAGGCAGAGGGGTGCGGGGGGAAGGCAGGGCCTGGGGGGCCGGGAGGGGCTGTGGGCCCGAGCCGCTGTGCTCTGGGGAGCCCCCGAGGCTGTCGGTGAAGCGCGGTGGATGCTGATGCCTCTTTCTCTCTGCAGGGATGAAGAAGAAGGGCTACGGTGTGGCGTCAAGTGAGTACCGGGGGCAGGTCCCACTTCTGCCCAGTTCTGGGGGGGTCTCATGGCTCCAGTTCCTGGCTGTTGTTGGCATTTCCTGCCCCCTCCCCATTTTCCCTTTATCCCTGGAGTGGGGACATATGGAATAGGTTGTGTCTCCCTGTGGGCTCCCATCCTCCTCTCCCGGTGGCCCCAGCGTGGCCGTGGCTCCTGGCACGTGCACCGTGCCCGTATCGAGCCCGGGGCTGGCAGCTCACGGCTGTTTCTCTCTCGCAGGCACGGACGGGGGCTCTGACTCCTCGGCCACAGGTACGGTGTGGGGATGGATGGGGCGGCCCCAGCTCTCCCTGCTCCCCTGTGGGACCCACAGCAACCCCAGGCTGTGGGAGGGGGCACCGAGACCCCCTTGAGCAGAGGGTTGGGGAGAGGGAGGTGTCCCTGGGTGACACTGTCTGTCCCTGCAGGGATCACTGCCTGATGGCTGTCAGAGGGACCGGCGTGTGGATGGGTGAGGGGGCTGGGGGCTGCTGGCAGAGAGAGCTTATCCTCTCTGCCCCCCCCACCCTGCTGTGGTTGGGGGTCTTCTTGCAACTTGCTGTTTTCTGATATAATTTTTTTTTAATTTTGGAGAATGTAATTATGAGTAACGGTATAATTTTGAGGTTGTACCTGATTTTTTTCTGCATATGTACCTTTTCTGGCCCACACAATAAACACTGGTCCCCACCCTCCGCCTGTGTATCCTCTCCCGGAGCCTGGGCTGCTCTTCCAGCCTCTGGCCCAGGGCTGGACTGGTTTGGGCTGGGATAGGGGTGGTTTTCTTGCTCACAGCCCAGCGAGGAGGCTTGGATCCAGGTCGACCATTGTGTTGGGAAATCCATGAGTCACATGGGGTTGGAAGGGACCTCTGGAGATCATCTCTCCAACCCCCTGCCAGAGCAGGTCCCACATGAATGTGTCCAGGGGGGTTTTGAATGTCTCCAGAGAAGGAGACTCCACCACCTCCCTGGGCAGCCTCTTCCAGGGCTCTGCCACCCTCCCAGGAAAGAAGTTCCTCCTCATGTTTAGGTGGAACTTCCAATATTCAGGTTTGTGCCCATTTCCTCTTGTCCTGTCCCTGGGCACCACTGAAAAAAGACTGGCCCCATCCTCCTGACACACTCCCTTGAAGTATTTATAGGTGTTGGTCAGATCCCCCAGCAGCAAGGGTCCAGGAGCTCCTGTAGGCACCCTTGGTCATGCTGAAGGCAAAAGTGTAAATGAAAAGAGCAAGTGGAAGCAGGTTCATGGCCTCCCACCTCACCCACCTCTTTCTTTGAAGTACGAGCAGATACGAGCTTCTGGTTGAGAAGGGCCAGTCCAGTGAGGAAGTAGGTAAGGAGCACCCTATAACACAGATGCCTCCTAAGTCAAAAAAGCACATACCCTGGATCACCACCACACCTTCTAAGAAAAAACAAAGGGTTACAGTTGTTGGGGACTCCTTCCTGAGGGGGACAGAGGGCCCAATATGGTGGGTGGACCCTCCTCAGAGGGAAGTCTGCTGTCTTCCTGGAGTTTCTGGAGCACCACGTAGGTGCAGAGGAGACAGCGACTTGAAGCTCGAGAGCTGTAAACAGAGACTTGAGGGATTTGGGAGGATTAGTAAAGGAATCTGGGGATTCCTTTAAACAAAGGAATTTATTCCTTTAAATAAAGGATTCCTTTAAAGTAAAGGAATCATCACTCCCTCCAGTGTCAGGCAATGATGCTGGGAGGAGCAGATGGACCAAATCAGTCAATACGTGGCTCTGTGGATGGTGTTACCACCATAACTTTGGGTACTTCTACAGGGGGTTGGCCTCTGTGGCACTGGGCTTGTTGACAGGAAATGGAAGACGCCTCTCTCAAAGGGGAAAGGCTGTTCTGGCCCGAGAGATTTCGGGGTTGCTTGACAGCTCTTTAAACTAGATGTGAAGGGGGAGGGGGGCGATAACATCAGGCCTGTCTTTGAGGCTCTGGAGGCAAAAGGAATCTGGGAATCACAGATAAAACACCACAAAGGAAGGCCACCTGAAGAGCATCACAAAGGAAATGGAGCCATTCTAGCCAGTAGGTCAGCCCCATTGGGCACCCAGCTGAAGTGCCTCCACAGAAGATGTGCATGGGGATCAATCAAGAGGAGTTGGAGATGTACGCACGCCTCCAGGGCTACAATCTTATTGGCATCACCGAGACGTGGTGGGATGGCTTTTATGACTGGAGTGTTGGAACGGAGGGTTACAGACTCTTCAGGAAGGACAGGCTGGGCAGATGGGGAGGGGGTGTCTCCCTCTATGTCAACGACCAGCTGGAGTGTGTGTAGCTCCACCTGAGGATAGCTGAAGACCTGATGGAGAGCTTATGGGTCAGGATTAAAGGGAGCACAGGGGCAGGTGCACAGGAGTAGGGGTCTAGGTCTGCTACAGACCACCAGATCAGGGTGACGGGGAGGATGAGGCCTTCTATAGACAGATAGAAGCAGCATCTCACTCGCACACCCTGGTCCTCATGGGGGACTTCAACCAGCCCAATATGTGTTGGAAGGACCACACAGCAGGGCACAAGAAATCCAGGAAACTCTTGGAATGTGTTGATGATAACTTTCTTCTTCAAATGATCAAGGACCCAATGAGGAATGGAGCTGTGCTGGACCTTGTCCTTACCAACAAGGAGGGGCTGGTGGGGAATGTCAAGTTCAAGGGTAGTCTCAGCTGCAGCAATCAGGTTCATAGGGCAGTGAGGAGGGCGTGCAGCAAGCTCGCTACCCTGGACTTCAGGAGAGCAGACTTTGGACTCTTGAGGGATCTGATTGGGAGGGTAGCATGGGAAAAAGAACTGGAGGGGAGAGGGGCCCAAGAAAGCTGGTTGGTATTCAAGGATCACCTCCTCCAAGCTCAGGAGAGGTGCAGCCCAAAAGTCAGACAAATTAGCCAGCAGGCCTGTGTGGATGAACAAGGAACTGCTGGACAAGCTCAGGACCAAAAAGGAGGCCTTTAGAGAGTGGAAGCAGGGATGGGTAAACTGGGCAGAATATAGAGAAACTGTCTGAGTGGCCAGGAACTAGATCAGGGAAGCGAAAGCCCAGGCAGAACTAAATCTAGCCAGGGACATCAAAGACAATAAGAATGGCTCCATGTTCAAGTGGTGGCCAGTGACGAGTGGTGTTCCTCAGGGGTCAGTACTGGGACCAGTGCTGTTTAACATCTTTGTTGGAGACATGGACAGTGGGATAGAGTGCACCCTCAGCAAGTTTGCCGACAACACCAAGCTCGGTGGCGCAGTTGACACGCTGGAGGGCCATCCAGAGGGACCTGGACAGGCTTGAGAGGTGGGCTTGTGCAAATCACATGAAATTCAACCAAGCCGAGTGCAGGGTCCTGCACCTCATATGGGGCAATCCCAGGCACAAATCCAGGTTGGGTGAGAATGGCTGGAGAGCAGCCCTGAGGAGAAGGACTTGGGGGTGTTGGTGGAGGAGAAGCTCAACATGAGCCAGCAATGTGCACTGGCAGCCCAGAAAGCCAACCCCATCCTGGGCTGCATCAAGAGAAGTGTGGCCAGCAGGTCATGGGAGATGATTCTAACCCTCTACTCTGCACTTGTGAGACCCCACCTGGAGCACTGTGTCCAGCTCAGGAGTCCTCAACGTAGAAAGGACATAGATCTGTTGGAACGGGTCCAGCGGAGGGCCACGAAGATGATCAGAGGGCTGGAGCACCTCTCCTATGAGGACAGGCTGAGGGAGCTGGGGTTGTTCAGCCTGGAGAAGAGAAGGCTCCGGGGAGACCTCATAGCAGCCTTCCAATATCTGAAGGGAGCTACAGGAGAGCTGGGGAGGGACTCTTTGTCAGGAAGTGCAGTGACAGGACAAGGGGTAACGGTTTTAAATTGAAAAAAGGGAGATTTAGATTAGATATTAGGAAGAAATTCTTTGCTGTGAGGGTGGTGAGGCACTGGAAGATGTTGCCCAGAGAAGTTGTGGATGCCCCATCCCTGGAAGTGTTCAAGGCCAGGCTGGATGGGGCTTTGAGCAACCTGGTCTGGTGGGAGGTGTCCCTGCCCAGGGCAGGGGGTTGGAACTTGATGATCTCTAAGGTCCCTTCCAACCCAAACCATTCTATGATTCTATGAAAAGCAGCAAATACACCCATACATTAAACACAAATACATTAAAACTTTGGGGTTTATTCAGTAATTTTTGGCGATTGGCTTTTTTTTTTTTCTCTGACTTTGCTTTTTCTGTGTAATTTTGTTTTGTTTTGGGGTTTTTTTGAGGTTTTCTTTGGTTTTGGGGGACAAAACCGCATATTTGGGTCCGAGGAGCTCTTCCTGCAGCCCGTTAGGAGCCAACACAAAGGTTTTGAGCCCGTCTCGTCCTGTTTTGACCTGGATTCCGTGACTCGGCTTTATTACAAACCCAGCTCCTGCGTGCGTCGCAGCTGGAGGAGCCGAGCCCGTCCTCGGTGACGTAGACACAGAGGCCACCTCCGTGGATCCAGAATCTGGATGGAGAAACGAAGAACCCACCTTAGATGGGGTGAGCAGGGAAAAGGAGAAAAAAAATCACACGTTGGGCTTCATTTTCGGGCATCCATATGCCTATATTGATGTAGACTTATTTCTATTTTGACAGAGTTGGCCATAAGAAACCCAAAGCTTTGCAAGAAAATAAACATATTTTTAAAAATCTAACAAACAGCATTTTCCCACACTGCTTCCACCTCTCAACTCAAATGGAAATATGAAGACTCTGGACGTTGCCTTTCCCAAACGTCGTTGTCCCATTGCTACTGCTGCATCCGCCTCAGAAATGCACGTTTCTGGGGCTGAGGAAACACCTTCCGATGAAAAACTGAGACTCACGGCTGAGAGAAATGGGAATTGTTCACCCATTTCCATGGTTGGTCCTCATCTCCTCGCGAAAGGCCGATCCAATGCTCTGAGGTGCCTTGATACCTCCTCACGAAGCTCTGAAGGAGAGAGAAAGGTTTTACAGCAGATCTTGGGGCTTTGGGCCCTCTCTGGCATCTCCAGAAACCTCCTTCCTACCAAAAATCTACATTTTGCCACTTGTTTGGGCTCTTTTTGTGCTTGAACCTTTCAACCCTCTACCAAAAAGTGTAATCTTTAAGTTAGAACTTGATTATTGCACAGAAATGAGGGGGTTTTTTTGTGACAGTTCTTGCTTTGGTGAGAAATTGGAAGAGATCCATGATGACCTGCTCTCAAGAAAACCATTTTCCCCTTCTCCTCACCCCAGATCTCCAAGGAAAATCTTGGAAGAGCAGCCAAAGAACCCAAAAGTTGGAAAATATATTGGTGGATTTTATTTCCCCCGCTACACTAAGCACCTCCTCGAGTCTCCTTACCAAGTCCTCCAGGCTGTCGAGCATGGCCAAGGAAGCCCCAAGCGCCGAGCAGTTGTCCTGGCCAGATGTCCAGTTCCCTTCAACCTCCGAAAAATAGTAGCATTTTCCTCTGTAGCCGATCCAGTCAAAGGGACACCGAAAACAGGGTGCAGGCCGCGGGTGAAAAGCCTGTGCTGTCACCGAGAGAGTGATTGGATGGTCATCCTCCACCCCCCCCAGCCTCCAAAAATCCTCTGTCTTCCTCGAGGGTGAGAGGAAAATGAAAATTGAGATGCTGAGAGAAATCTTGGGTGGGTTGGATGGAGGAAACCAGCTCATATCATGGCCCAGTTTGTGGCATTGGACAAGAAATGGGGGTGCTCTACCTTCAGAGAAGAAAAAGGGGGTGGTGGCCTTCAAAGATACAAGCTTTAAGAGTGTTTCCAAAATAGTCCTGTCCCTAAATGTGCCCTTTGCTGTTGCTCTCAGTCTGCAGAAGTAGAGATGGAAAAGGAGAGAAAGAGAAGTGCTCTTGTTCCTGAAGAGCTCTTGGCTTGGTGGGACTCATCCCAGCATCTCTTGCTTGGACCAGCAGAGGAGAAATGGCCCCTTCCTCTCTGAAAAAGCCACCTTTGGGACAACTCAGGTGACCGTATGCGTGAAACAGTGATTTTTGTTGTTTTTTCAAGGGTTTCTTAACCTTCAGCTCCTACACAGAGGAGATGGGTTTGGTCTTGTCTAGAAAGGCATCTCCACTTGTTGAAATGTCCCTCCCCTGGAGAGGACATCCTCTTGGGATGGGCTGGGAGCATGGAGGTGGACCTGGCATCCATGTGACCACCCAAGGCATCTCAGAGGTGGGTCTGGCACCTGCGTGACCACCCAAAGTATTTCAGAGGTGGACCTGGCATCCGTGTGACCACCAAAGTATCTCAGGGGTGGGTCTGGCTCCTGTGTAACCACCCTAAAACATCTCAGCAACATTCCCCACCAGATGAAAATCTCAACACTCACCTGCAAAAGTGACAGCAGTGACGAGCAGAGCCATGAAGAGCACAACCATCGTCACCTGGAAAGCCACCCGCACCTCCGCCTTCATCTCCAGGTTGTGACCTGCAGAAGAAAGACCTTCAGTGCCTTTGGGGGGGACACCCAGGGGACCAACAGGCTCCAGGTCCAGCCTGGTGGCCCAAAAGATGCTTTTTCCTCCATCTGCTCAACGATCACGAGGACTTTGAACACAACTGCCCCACATTGGGCCATTGGGGACGGCACTGAGCCCCACATCTGAGCACGTGGAGGGTGCCCATCAAAAACGTCTTTGGGGAGAGCCTTTCCTATAGAAAAAGCATCGCTTGGTGCCCAGAAGATGAGAGGTTGGTCCAGATGGACTTGCTGTCATTTTGGGGGAGGAACATCAAAAATTCTTCTCCACAAGCAATAAAATTGCATATTATTTTTATTTTTGGGAGCTCTTCCTTAGCAGGGGAACTGTGTCTCCTCCCCAATTCCAGCTGTAACTCCTGCTCTGAAATGCACCATAATAAAATAAAATAAAATAAAATAAAATAAAATAAAATAAAATAAATTCACCATAATTAAAAGTATGTTTTAATTTCAGGTTTCTGTGTCATTATTTAAGCTCAATGAACTCTTTCTCCTCCTAAATGGAGACATTTTGGGTCTTGGTCACTCCATTGCTGGGTCTCATGGTCCACAAAATCCTCTTTCCCCCCTCCATGAGCAAAGAAAATGCTGTTGCCAAAAGGTTTGACCTAAAATTCTCAGTGTTTTCACCCCGTTTTCTTTTCAGCTTCCCCCTCTTTGTCCCCATCTGTCACAGGATCAAAATCTCATGGGACAAACATTCCATTCCCCTTTAACCAAGGAAAAAAAAAATATCAGAAAGTAAGTCACATATACCAAATAATAAAGAAAAGCTATATTTTTTAAAAGTCAACAAATAAAAAAATCAAATAAAAAATCCAGAATTCAAAAATCAACAAATAAAAAAATGAAAGAATCAGGAAATCAACAAATAAAAAAATAAATGTCTAGAGATCAACCAATCAAAACCCAAAAAACTAAAAAATCAACAAATAAAATAAAAAACCCCCAAAATTTAACGAATAAAAACCCAACAAATATGAAATTAAAAAGCAAAAAAAAATCAACAAATGGAAATGGAAAAAAAATAAATAAAAAGAAATGGAAAATAAATAAACAAATGATAATAGTAATTAAAACAAACAAACAAACAGAAAAAGGCAAATAAAAGTATGCTAAATTAAAAAAAAAAATCCTCAAAATCTTAGTCCCTGGCTGGGTAGAGAGAGATGATAGAAAAGACCCCAAAAAGCCCCTTTTCTATCTTATTTTTATGAGGGGATGATGAAGGTGGGAGGAAGCGCCAGGAGAAGTAAAAGAGGGTGGTGCTGGGGGGGGAGGATAATAAGTATTTTTGAAGTGTCCAAACTGGACTTAAATCCCACTTATTTTTATGTGGTTTTACCACTTCAACTAGTCAAAAATTCCTTTATTCTCATGTAGAATAAGGCAGAAATTTGGAATATTTGAGGAAAAATAAACTAAAAAGACCCCAAAGCGGCTCAAGTGCCTCAGGGAGGATTAACCGTGTGTGAGAATAACCCAAAGTGTCTGAAATTTGACCATTTACAGCAAAAATCCCACCTGCCGAGCAGCAAAAATTTTCCTGTGAGGGAAGTGGTAGAAAAAGTGGAGTTTTTTTGTCCATCTGAGACAACCCCCCCCACCCCCCCAGCTGTTTTTTATTCTCAAATTATAGAAATATTTAAAAAAAACAAAACCCCAAAAAAACCAAACTGGCGATTATTCAGTTCATCGCTCTGCAGTTACCTGCCCGTGTGCTCCTTTCTGCACTCGAAAATCCGGAAAAATCCCTCGTTTCCTTCATTTTGGGGATTTTCTCCCCTCCTGGGGCCTCACCTGCTGAGTGTCAGAGGTGTCACGAAGACTGTCAGGTCTCAGCCTCCCTGAGGTGGGAAATCTTTGTGGAAAAGGTCATGTCTACCCCCAAAAATGTTAATTTTTGTGCCATGGGTGGGTCTGTAAATCCTCCAGCTGCCGGTTCAAAATCTCCACACAATCTCCCCACAATTAAAGTTTTCTTCCCAAAATTCAAGGATTTCCCCCCATTATTAAAGTTCACTCTTCCAATTTAAATTTTCTTCCTCCAATTCAAAATTTCTCCCCACAATTAAAATTTTCTCTCCATAATTAAAGTACCCCCCCCCCAATCCAACTTTTCTTCCCCTGGTTAAAACTTTCGTCCCCCAATTAAAATTTTTTCTGTGCAATTACAATTTTCTCCCCCAATTAGTTTTATCCTCCTAATTAAAATTCTCTCCCCATAATGAAAGTTTTCTCATTGCAATCAAACTTTTCTCCCCACAATTAAAATTTTCTTCCTCCCAATTACATTTTTTCCCCACAATTAAAATTTTCTCCCCCCAAATTAAAGATTTCTCCCCCAATTAAAATATTCTCCTTGCAACTAACTTTTCTTCCCCAATTAAAATCTCCCTGAAACTAAAATTTTCTCCCCCCATTAAAATTTTATCCTCATAATTAGTTTTCTCCCTGCAATAAAACTTTTCTTCCCTGAAATTAAAAAATTTTCCCCAATCAAAATATTCTCCTTGCAGTTAAACTTTTCTACCCCAATTAAAATTTCTCTGCAATTAGAATTTTCTCCCCAATTAAAATTTTCTCCCCCAATTCAAACTGTCTTCCCATAATTCAAGTTTTCTCCTTGCAATCAAACATTTCCGCCCCAAAATTAAAGATTTCTTCCCCATTTAAAATCTTCTCCCTAATTAATATTTTCTCCCCCAATCAAACTCTTCTCCCCCAATTAAAGATTTTGCCCCCACTTCGAATCCTCCTGCAATTAAAAATGTATCTCCCCAGTTAAAATTTTCTCCTCCCAGTTAAAATTCCTCCTCCCCCAGTTAAAACGTTCACCCCCCAGTTCACCCCCAACCCCTCACTTGGCTGCGGGAAGCGCAGATGCCACACCACGTCCCTCTCCTGCTGAGAGAATCAGGAAATAGAAAGACTTAACAAAATTAAATAATTTCATGGTTTGTTTTGTTTTTTTTCTGGGGGATTTTCATGAGGAACCTCCGGGGCAGAGGGGGAAGGGGCTGCCCGAGGGACCTTTCCCTCCCAGCTCCCGCTTCACCTCTTTTTGCTGAATTTCCAGCTGTTCTTTTTAAATTTTTTTTGTTTGGGTTTTTTGTTGTTTTTTTTTTTTTAAATCAGGAGGACAAATTATCCAAAACTATTGATTTTGGGGCTAGGAGGGGAAAATGTTTCATGCTGGAGCTTGCTCTGTGCTGAGGTGTTGGGGAACCCAAAAGAGTGCGACGAGGAGGAGGTTCCCTCCAGCACACAAAAAAAGGAGAAAATAAAATAATTATAGATATAAATAAAAATACAAATGATATAAGTATATATTTTATATAAATATATATAAAAATCTCTTTTTTTCCATGCTACCACCTCTCACCAACTCACAGCATCGAGCCAAGACCCCCAACCTTTCCCCTACCCCCAATAAATCAAGCTAGTTCATCCAACTGCAAAAACATTAAAAGACCAGTGTTCTTGCAATTAAATTAACCTTTTTTTTTTT